GTAGCGATGATTATTATTGACGTATCGTACCTGCCTGAATTTAAGGTACATACCATTAGGCACTATCCATGTAATCGATTTTGGATACCGTAATAATAATAATAAAAATAAGAATAATAAATAGGCTATACGTACATTGTAAACTCGTGGTCTAAAAATATGTCTACACGCATTAATTAATAAGGCCAACTTCACACTTGACAGAATTCCTGTGCTTAATATATCTTCTATCTATTAATATGATTGTGAATATTCAAGAGAAAATTTTATCACTTTTCTATTATGGAATAATTATTATAAAGTAATTAGTAAATTCTTCGATTATAATAAAACACAACGTTTTGTACATTTCACATTCATTCTTCAATGATTTCCTCACATAATCTATATGGACGATACGCTAACATTTGCTCACAGTACCGTAATGATTTATTTATTTATTATCAGCTTATTGCATTGCAAGCATATGCATGTACGCGAGGGTGCAGTGTAGATCCACGTAAATAAGCAGATGGTGAAAGAAACTAGCCTATAAACAATTATGCAATTATGATTGGGTTATTGCTCTTTGTTTTGTATACGTGTTTGTAATTATATTTAGTTAATGTAACAAAATGAACTTTCGGGTTTGCGGGTTAGCAAGTCATGTGTGAAATTAACTATTATAGCTACGTCAACAACACCGTTGTAACACTAATTAATACTTCGTTTACATAGCGGCTTGTGTAATTTGCTCTTATCGAAAATTGTCTAAGCTAACGTGATTGCTATAAAATATTGGATTATTCATATCTGTTACATTAGCAATATTTCATTTGATATTATATGCTTGCCAATTAATTGTTCAGGATTGTCAGCAAGTATCTCATCGAAAATTTATAACATATTGATTATAGAAAATAATTATTATATATAATAATTATAAAAAAAAGTATTTTTATAAATTAGTACACTATGGGAGAATTTAAATACATATTGAATATATTGAATATAGAAATTTATTTATATATTCAATTAGCCTTCAGATAACATTAAAATGAAAAAATATTGATAGAATTATAATAATATTGATTTATATATTTTTAAAAGGAACTTAATTTTTTCAAAATTATTGAAATTTATATGTATAATTCTACTTTAAAAGAATGTTTTGTTCAAATGATTCGAGAAATCTAGGTAATCGGAAATTATCAGAAAAAAAATTTTATATGCTATATTTGAGATAGATTTTCTTCAATTTAGTATACAAAGTGAAACTAAGAAGCAGAGTTCGTATCAAATTAATTTTAATTAATTTACTAATTAATACTGAAAATTAATAGTAACATATGAATGAATTTTAATATGATAGCTTACCGGATTAAGACATCAAGTAGAATTGCATATAATTTTATTCAAGTATTTCTGGTGCTTTCATTAAAAGAAACTTTTTGAACTTTTCAAAATTTATTTTTGCTACATCGTAATCAAAATCCAAATATTGTCCATAGTATTTTATAAATTTTCAATCAAAATTTGCAATCTCTGCACGTAAGGGCATCAAACACCAGTTTCCTCGTAAATCCGAACATGTATTTCTACGAAGCAAACCAACAATCAATCCATTCGCGTTCTCTTTAGTAGACCGATTAAATCATATAATTACCATATAAAAAGAGGCGACATTTATTCGTAATTGTAATTGTAATTGATAGCAATCGTAATTGTTGAAGAGATTCATATGGTAGTGATAATTCGAAATCCATATCAAACTAGGTTAGTCCTTCGCATCGTATAATTCATAAAAGGAAATTCAAAAGTAACGATGACCCATTCTTTACTCTCTCTCTCTCTCTCTCTCTCTCTCTCTTTCTTTCTCAGGTATGTGCTTTACACAGAGGCCATAGTATAAAGGAAAGTGACAAACGAACCATTACGGAAATAAAAGCGCGGCTGCCGGGGAGAAGGACATTTCTCACATCCAAGTTTAGCGGTGGCTGATCTGGCCGATCTAAGTCGCCGCCAACGTCTTTCCATGGCTTCGGGAGATATATGGCGTTATGCTGCACCGGCACGTCGGGCCGTTTATTCAGCCGCAGGTGCGCGCGGAAAATTTATCACGCGAGTATTCGCACCTCTCGCGCGGGCGACGCGCTCGGCATTATGTGGGCCTTCTTTTTCACACGGCCGCTTGCAATGCGTCCTTTCCGTGTTAAGCCAGAGAGACCCGAGCGCTACATGCAAATCGCGTTGGATGCCGTGGCGACTGATTTTATTGTATTATGATGCGCTCGGCCGCAGCAACGCTGTTTGAAAGCCTGAATGCTCGCTGAATTGTTCGCTTGGGATTTTCTGCAGGCGCGAGTCGATATTAATTCTGCGTACAAATTTTCGCTTTAACCACTTAAGTCGAGAGTCAATTATGAAAATGAGCTGTATGATACGTACATATGTATGTGAATTTTCAATCGGACAATTTGAATTCACGCCATTTCAAAATATTTGTACATTTCATCGAATGCAACCAAAATCATATGTACACATTATGTAATGTTAACCGTAGCTTACCGTTATGAAAGATGTGAGGCACTTCTCTGCCCAATAGGGTAAAGGACTCCTTCCGATTTCTACTCTAATTAGACGACCGGGGATCACCGTACCGGATGATTAGTCGGTAATTAAATTAGAGGTTTTTAACAAATGATCTGAGAACCGAGTACAAGTGGGCCGTAGGCAGAAAGGGCAATAAATAGGGCCTATAGTTGTTAAATGAAAAATTCACCTTCCGCAAGTAAAATAGTCGTAAAATTAATTTGAAATGCGGAGCGGTTTAGCGAGTCACTTTTATGAAGCGCAAGCAGTTTGGCCCCTCGATATGCCCATACGCAGTACGCCTACAAAATCAAGGTCTAAAAGCAGGATGAAGTGGCTCGTAATAAATGCCCGTGGAGTTTTTTTCTAAATGCCGTGGTCGAATGAAAAGTGCAAAGAATAAGTGAAACACGTAATAACGCATACTGTAAATCTCGGTAAAAAGGCAGTAATTTGAGAGAAGGTGCGCGCATCGGCGAGGCAAAAACGACGAGGCGGCGAGTGTCGGTAGTGGTGGTCATCTCAGCCGCCAGCATGGTATCGGCGCCCTTTCAATGCCCTTATTCCGCATGAAAGCGGTTCCCGCGGCCAAGTCGACGCTATCGCGATGACGCACGCGTTCGTTAGTCGGGGACACGCGATTGTCCACGAGAAGCGGAACGAGGAGATGAGGGTGTATTGGTGCTGGAGGAGGGAAGAAGGGCTCAGATGTTTCAATCGATTAGCAGAAGAGTACATTGGCGATACGCGCAGGTTGACTTCTGTTTATTCGTCTCTCCGGGAGTGTTGCATAGCGGGATACATTCACTCGCGCAAATCCAGAAGTTAAATAGCCTAGACCAATTTATGGGAGATTAAAGCTCCTGCCGTTACGATGCCTCTAATATCATTGCGATTAGTTGTACGTAAATATGCGTGGGCGTGAATACTGTGAAACGTCGTAGAAAATTTACGAAAAGCTTCTATATTGTGCTGTAATAGTATACGGAATTAATAATTGGATGATATTTCATAATTACCAACACTTTGTATTTGTATGTATTTTGTAAATGTATGAGAAGTGATAACGCAATCAATCGAGAAATTTTCTTAGTTAAGTGAAACCTTTGTTTCCAATGGGTCTTCAATGGCCGTTAATCAATAGCAATCTTGCTTTATTCGTGCAACGATATTATTTATAGCTACGTATTTACGGAGGGCAAACTACAGTACTTAGGATTGACAATCGTCGAATCGGAAAGTATCCTTTAGTATTTTTTATTATTCCTAAGTGCTATTGTAGCTCGAGTAGATTTTTGATAAGGATGCCTCGAGGACATACCCACAGTATGAAGTCCTTAAAGCCGATCACATGCTGCAAGCGAATCGTTCGTTTATACCGAGCGTGGAATATCTGTATATATTTCAAGTGTAAAGAGCGGGGATAAAATCCGGTAAACACTGTAATTTTGGATCTTATATGGTGTGCCGCATAATTTTTGGTTCAGATACGATTTATGCGACCGGGGACGCAATTGCCGGCAACGTTTTATTCAATTCCATTAAAGCTCATTATACATCCATCTACGTACCAGCAGCAATTCGTCTTGTCATTTAACCTTGGAAGCTTGACGAATAAATTTTTCATTTATTATTTGCGACACTATAAATTTTATAAACATCTTTTCTTTTACTCCTGAAGATAATGCTTAAATTTATGAATTTATGAACGATCGTTTAAATATTTATCGTGATTTCACATTTTGTTTAATCGTAATAATGTTTAATTACGTAGTGTCTTGTCGTAATATATTAAATTAGATTTAATTTATAATAATTTCATGTATAGCCTTAAGAAATGTCGAATTTACATGAAAAATATTTTATTTCTGTAAATTTCTGAAAAGCAGTTTTTATCAATATTATTTACTTATAGTTGTATATTTTCTGTACATACAGTTATATATATATATATATATATATATCTTATACATTCAAAACAATTCTATAAATTCCGTTATCGATATTACTTTAAGTTGGAGATTAGAAATTTCAATTTCAATGTCTAATTAATCTCCTAAAGTGAATGATCCATTTTTATTTCACGTGGAGGTTTAGACAAAACGTTTCTGAAACTTTTATTTTTAAAGCTATTGATAAATTACAATTCTTTCCGAACAATGTCGAATAAAGTATCAAAAGTAAGAGTTATACAAGTGTTATTAGTGGCTACAGTAATATTTTAAAATATAGCTAAGGTTAAAGCTATGACAACACTTTACTTTTAAAGCTGATATAATTGAGTGTTGGAGGGAAAGCGTGCGGGTGCAACCTCCGTTTGCTATATTGCACCACACTAATAACGTACCTCATAGTCTATCATTGCCTACACAAAGACTATAAGTCGAGGGGACTAGTCCTCTTTGGGAAATAGTAAAGAGGAACCTTACCGACGCTGGTGGATGAAGCACCCTGAGCGCGCTATTACTCCACTTGCGATGTTTCCCGGGGTAGGGTGGCGACCTGGCGTAACTATTGTTCTTCTGCTCGCTGATGGACCTGTAGGGGGCGCGGAAGGACGCGTACGGCGCCCCCTGAAATCCTCCCGCGTACGCTTCTACAACTTTCCTATGCTGTTGCTGTTTCTGCTGCTGTTGCTGCTGCTGTTGGTCGTGGTGATAGTGATGCTGTTGTTGTTGCTGCTGCTGATGCTGCCGTTGCTGTTGGTGATGGTGATGATGTTGATGTTGATGGTGATGATGAAAGGCCGTAGCGTCGAGTCGTTCATGATGGGCGAAAGCTTCATTTGGCCTGAAAGTGGCCTCGTCCGTCCGAGATTTCGTACCGGCTGGAGCACGTTCTGGTGAGAATGACGGCGGCGTCTGGGGCAGCCCATAAAACGGTAGGAATCCGTACGGGAAGCTGGGCCTGTAACCACCGGGGAAGGGGCCTGCGTTGCACTTTGGCTTGGACTCTTCAGACTGCGAAAAATGTCGGAACTCCTCGCGCACTTCGAGCCTTGGCCTCCTAGATGCCAGGGTCTCGTCGTCGCTCTTCGAAACCGGTGCCGCCCCGAGACTCGTCTCCTGCATCGCGTCCAGATCGGCCCCCTTCAGCACCTCGGCATTATTCAGTAAAGTCGTCCGATCTAACAGTTCACTTCTTTGTTCTTCTCCTCTAATCACTGTCGAAAATCATGAAAGTCATGAAAAGCCGTCGAACATTAGGCTAGGCCCTCGATTGCCTCTTCAGCAGCAAGATCTATCTGCTAAATCAGTCGTCGTCAGTGTTTCCTCTCATGCTCACTTATACTCCCTCAGTCTCTCACACACCCCGCTCTCTCTCACTCTCTCTCTCTCTCTCTCTCTATCGCACACAAACTCTCACTCCTCCCTCTCTTTCTTTCTATCGCACACAAGCTCTCTCTCTCTCTCTCTTTCTCACACTCGCTCTGCAGCTCTTTCTATTTCCCTCACACACGCTCCCCTCTCCCCCGGCCACTACCGGCGTCGCGTCGTCAGCGGTCGTTTTAGGCCGTGCGTCGATGTGGAGGGGGTGTGCGCTGCTCTGCGACCGACACTGGGGAGGGGGATAGCGCTGGTGCCGCCGCCCGGTAAGGGCGGCGTGACAGTTTCCGTGTCACGTGTCGTCCCGTCCTTAGGCCCCGCCTACGAATCCGATTTTCCTCGCGCGGGATCGTTACACGCTTGCCTCAGCCTACCTTCCCCGGCCGTTCACGACTTCTCCCTCCGCGCCACGTCGCTGCTCGCGGTCTGATGTCGTTCTCCCCCTCGTCACTCGCCGGACAGGCGGCCCACGGCGAGCACTACTGGCACTTCTTAGTTAACGGCGCGCACTCACGATCCGATCGATGCCAGAGCGGCTTGGCTCTCGGTGCGTAAGGGCGAGCTCGCGCTCGACTGTCAGCCACCCGACGACCGAAGGGCGAAAAAGGGCGTGAGCCTTAAGAGGGTCCCCGCTCGAGTGGGCGGGCGGGGGGTAGGGACGTCGACAGGGATTTAGGTGGAGATAGGATGGGCGAGTGAGTGGACAGGAGGCACGGAATGGTGGGCTGCGGGAAGGGGAGAGGGATAGCCAGCAGTCAAGAGGACGCACGGAAAACTCGCGAGGCGCGGGCAAAAGACCGGGGATGTTCGCGACGGACGCTCGGGTCGGGCCGATCCGCGCAGCGTACGTGGTGAGGTTTCCTTCGAGACAGCGTGAAACGGCGGCACTCTGTTTCGCCCTCTCGCTCGTTTGCTCGTCCGCGCGGCGGCGCGAGCCCACACCAGCCAGAGAATATGGAGGTGCGCGCGGCAGCGTCGGCTTCGCGAGAACTCACGATCGCATACGAATCTTGCCGAATGGCTATCTTTCTCCTGCTCGGTTCTCCAACGCGGAATACTCGCTCTGTCTGCGTTGCCGGCTTTCTTCCACTCGTTTCAATCGAATCCGGTAGAGCTACTTCAATGCCGGTGCGTCTGTGCTGCTGTTGCCCTTTGTCGTGACTGCTGAGCTTCCCTCTATCCTCCTCATCACTCTCTCTCTCTCTCTCTCTCTCTCTCTCTCTCTCTAGCTCTATCTTTGTCTTTCATTCTTTCTCTTTGTCTTTCTCATTGCGGACACTCTTTAGCTTGTACTACCATATGACGGCACGAGAGAATAAGTAACGAACGTTGAAGCGTTCACGTGCGCACGATCATCGGATATTCCCTTCCTCTTGCTTTTACACTGGTTCTCTTTGTCTCTGTTCCGCATTGAGGTATGTGGGATATGTTATTGGATGGAGCTAAATGGATGCTAAGTGAAACGAGGCGAGGATGAAGATTCTGCGAGCTTACAAGCACTTTTTTCTCTTCTTGTGGTATCTTTATGATAGGCTTGTAAAAAGACCATGGATCATTTGGATGGAGATAGTTTAATTCTGTGTGTTAGTCAAGGGAGATATAATCGTGTTTTTTCTGCAATATATTAAACACTTTTACAAAACACGATTAAATAATGTTGGTGAATAGAAAACAAATCTGTCAGTCCCCTTATTTACAAGTATTGCTCATTCTTTCGTAACTTTTTATTTGCAAATTTTCTTGTTGAATTAACTGTCCATTTTTTTATGCTTTCTGAATAATGCAACAAATTATGTAAAACAAATTTTTATACATTTTTTCTTTAATAAAAATTTTTATAAAAATTTATAACAATCAAAGAGCACTGTTTTATCAGGGCTTCATGCACAGAAAACTATATGTTTCAATTTATTTATAAATATCATACAAATAAGCAAACTATGTCTTCGCGTGAACATCTGGAAATATCATATATATTTAATTGATACAATTGTTCGTAACTTAATCTTTGAATAATCAACAATTCATAATTCACTAGTACTAAGAGAAACGAAAATGTTTGATGTATTCATATCAATAAGGATCGCTATACTTAATTATTTATTATACCACATAATCTATATTTTAAAATGTCCTAAATTTGGAAGATAAAATTAATGTATTCTATACATTTTTCGAAAATTATGCAAGCTTATTTTTATTATTAACATATTGAACTAAAAAATATCAGTCAAATATAAGGTAAAGCTTGTTTTATAAGAATTGAAATCAATCATTTGTAATCTAAAAGTAATTAAACTATTTCCATTCAACGATTTTTACAATGAAAATTTTTCAAAGAAAATATGTAATAATTTATATTACAAATATGTTCAAAATTTTAAGATATGTAGAAATATTAAATTAACGAATAAAGCATTTAATTGTTGAAGTTAATTATTGATGCAATAATCAGATTCTTACTGTTTGAAAAAATATTATTGATATCTCAAATTCAAACTTTTTTACACTAAATGACTTAAAGTCTCATCATTAATAAATAAAATAAATAAAGTGCCGTTATATAATTTAAAATTTTGTAAACGTTTATGTACAGACAAAATCCTGTTAAAAATATAAAGCGCCTTTTTACATATGTTTACCTACAATAAAATTACATTACATAATTGTTTATTATTACAAAATTGAAGTTTGCTTTAAAGTGTGTAATACAAATTTCTGTTAAATAATTGATAAAATATTAATTTATAGAATAGTTAAATTAATTAAATAATATTAGTTTAACATTTATTTAATTTTAGTTAAAAATTAAAACCATAATAGAACCTGAAAATCAATGGGCATACTACACTATTTCATTTTAATGAATTGCAAATCTAATTATATAATTGTCAATATGCTATTATATTTAAAATATAAAATATTAATAATTGTAATTTATGCATTGATAATGAAATTATCATTCAATAATGATACCGAGTGATTCTAGTTTAATAATATAATATATTGAAACGAATATCTGACAATCATATTTATAGAGAAATATGATTATAAAATAAAAAATTTTTGTAACAAATTAATCAAAATTTTTCATCTAATAAAATTGATTACTCTGTTTAATTATAGTTAACGATATTTTACACATGTGTCTCATAATTAATCTATCACATATACTCTACAATTATCATGTTTAATTTACGACCAAAAATTCCCTAAAGTTTTTGTTGTACGAAAGTAGTTATTTTTTGTTTACAAGAAACATTAATATTATTAAGTACAGATATAAAGTTTTGATTTCCAAATTGGTTTTTCCATTGATTCCAATTGTCTATATATTACATTCTAATTATTGTAGACTCAATTACAAGGTTAAAGTTCACGTAATATATCTATCCCACGATTTTATAAACATTTAGAAGTTCGTAACACAAAATTTAAAGGTTGTTATTATTTATTTTACCCCATACATACTAAATCTTCAACGGAAAATGATATTGTGTTAGAACAGGTATAGACCTATCAATGTGATCATCATCGACATTTCACCACGCTCATGTGGCTCTCCTCTCTTTTGGCAATTAAAATTTTATATTTTTATCGCTTGTGAGCAAAGGTTTATTTCTCCCATTCGATGCAAGTCTGCAACTCTTGCCGCATCGCGAGTACTTAGGCGCAGAGCAGTTACAAGAAGAAAGACGAGGGACTTTTAAGAGCGCTCTGTTTTCCTCGTTAGGTATAGGTATATTTATGGCTTGATGTATGGCTTATGCCAGTATATATTTACGTGGCTACATTACACACTCATTCTTCCAACTAAATGCATATGCACGCTTGGTGCAGTCATCTTACACACACAGGCAAA